TTGAGAATCCAAGCAAACGGTCTTCTTGTGCCCAGCTCTAAGCTCTTTCCATCTCTCTCAGCTCCATATGTTAGTAGGATGGCTTCCTAAGTGGAAGAAAACTGTATTCCCGATTCTGCCTTTCATGACACATCTTAGGTGCAGTGAGGCAAGGAACAGAATAGATTATTTTATTAGCCTTGTAAGAGGAAGTAGCTTGAGGCTGACGCACAGCTTCCCATGGAAGGGAAGAGAGACGATTTCCATTGGGCATCACTGATCTTCCCGACTACAGTCATACATGGACCCTGCATCCATGCACACACAAGCAAGTGACTGATGTTAGCCTTGTAATGAACTATGGAAGCTCATACAAATGAGATGCTAATCTCACTGAGCTATCTCAGGGCCTGATCCAAAGCTCATTCATTTCAATGGGAGCCTTTCCATTGACTTCAGTGGGCTTTGGATCATGCCCCAAATGAGAAACATTTAAAAATAAAATAATGCTCTCAACTCTCCCTCAAGAGCTACCTTCTCAGAAATTCTAACTGTAAATATTGAATGTGCCCCAAAGATGTCTGGCTCACCCCAGCCTCCATTGTAAAAACATCACTGAGGTGAATTCCCCTAATTTCACCATGTGCAAAACTGTTCTCACAGATCCAGTCCATAAGTGGGTTGCTTGCTGAGATCTAGAAGACAGTTGTTTATTATACTGCAGGAATGTGTTGAGTCTGCCTGGTGCTGATGGAGCAAAGGATTAAATACGACTGGGGAGGTGCTGGGAAGGATGTGGAATAACAGAAGAGGTGTGTAGGCGGGTGGTTTCTCTCCTTGTGTATATGTGGCAGGGGCAGGAGAGAGGAGGGGGTGGGGAAGGTTAAAATGTTAATGAAGATTCTTTAGGAGTTCTTAAAAAATAATATCGTGGAGAATGTCCAGGGCAGCCTCACGTGTTACTCTGCATCAAATGGGAAATAACGGTGGCGAGAAGGTAGTAGGTGGGTTTTCTCCTAGGAATAGATTGCTCTTTATCAGAGGGTCTAATAGCTTGTTTTTCAGAAATCTTAAACTGAGAAGAGTCACCAATTTGAATCATTGTTACAGTTCATCTGAATGCAAACAGTGAGCTAGATATCAATAGGCTTCAAGAGATTTCTCTGTATCTTCCCAGAGGTTTTCACTACACTTTGTTAAACTGGGGTTTTTTTTTGTAATCAAGTCATTTCAAGAACATTATGAAAGCCGCCGGAGAGGATCAGGAGAGAGGGAAATCATATCAGAAGTTCAAACTTATTCTTCTACAGCTATGAGATCTAAAAATACCCAAGAGACCAGGCTGCTGTCTTTCAAAATCCATTCATCCTAGCTATATAATAATAATGCTAGTCACATCTAAAGCTTGAGCCAAAGCCCATGGAAAGACTCCCTATGACTTCAGTGGGCACTGGAAAAGGCTCCTTCAGCACCTTCTAGCCCAAGGTCTTAAAGTGCTTTACAAATATCAAATAATTTTAACTTCACAATGTACAATACCTCTGAGCTAGGTAAGTATCACCATTCTACAGATGGGAGAACTAAGGTACTTTAATCCCAATCCCACTGAAGTCAATGTGGGTTTTATAATTTGGTATTTGCCCAAGGTCGCACAGAGAGTCTGATGGAAGAAATGGCCTCCAGATTGCTACTCCTGTGCTGTTACCAGAAGACTATCCTTCCTCCCAATTTGCTTAACCAGAAAACCATTTCCCTCTATGTATCTATGTTCACAACATGGGCAACAACTTCCATTTTTATGGACGCCTCAGATTACCGTGATTTATCTTGGTGATTAGAGAACATAAACTCAAACACTCCCATGATGTCGACAAGATCAGCCATAATTTCTTAGTCTTGAATTTTTACACTATAAGCACGTCTGAGGTTAATTGTTACTGTTTGAGAGTCAACACTAAGGGCTAGTTCACTTAGGGGTGTGTGTGAATGACCCAGTACAGCAGCTAAGGAAATATGTCACTGCTATATATATACTGGGCTACCAAAACATGTTGCATTTTGCAGTACTTTACTGCTGAGGATCTCAAAGTGCTTTACAATATTAAGTAATTAAGCTTTACAGCACTCTCCTATAATGTTGTTCTACCCTTTTCTCAGATGGGTAGACTAAGGCATGGAGAAGTTAAGTGACTTCCTCGGTCTTACTCAGTGAGGCAGTGCCAGAACAATGAACAGAACATCACAGTCCTGTTGTCTAGGACTCTTCCCAAGCCAGCAGGGAATAAACTAACTAGCTATTCTGATTCTCAAGGGTAATTTGATCTTAACTGTTTTTGGTAGGAGCAAATAGCTGCATGACGCCACTGCACAATATCAGCAACAGGTTTTTCCTTGTTCTGAGAGCTAAGTAAAATCTAAAGCACACAGAGAAAAAAGAGTAAGATGATCGTAAAAAGGAATTAAGCTTTTGAATGGGGGCTGGATGACACAAGGGTTCTGAACAGGATAAATTATGAAACTTTTCACCTCAAGGTGCAAAGTCAGCCTGTAGTGATAGTGACTGAAAACAATTGCTATTTGATAAGTGACTAGTAGCCTCTCTGAAATAAATCAGTGATTAATTCTAGCTCCTAGAGGGGAGCTATTTTATATTGGAAAACCCATCATTGGCCATGCCACTGATTGTCATTCTCATTGGCAGCTTTAATACAGCGGCCAAGGGTTACATGGTGATGGAGGCTGAAATGCCCATGTGGTGTTCTCTGGGGCGAAGAACACAGATCAGGGTATTGTCAAAGGAAGTTTGTATATCCACTATCTGATGTATTTGTTCCATGGCTAGAGAACTTCAGTCCCTAGGACTAACTAACTCTTCACTTGCCCTACGTTCACTCATTCAATAATTTAAAGAATGACATGATAAAGTAAATAGCAGGAGATTGATTTCTTATGATATTGTGCCTTCCAAACCTTCCACTTAATGAATCACACTATGAATATTGCAGTTTAGGCCCTTTGGGCTGTGATTAGTCTACAATGTTTGGGACTGGGTTTGAGTTGCAGCCAGAATTTGCCTGATCTGGGTTAAATATATTTTGTGGCAAAACAGGTATGTGTGCAAGAGAATTAGGTGATTGATTTCCTCCATGCTGACCTGCTCTGGTTTCTTATCTGGCCAGTGACCTAACGGAATGAAAATGAAAGACGACTACTGGCAGCGATAAGGCCAGTTTGCTCACTTAATAACCGCATTGGGATTACAATAATAGCCACCGATAGGCTACCAAGTTTGCTAGTGCTCTCCAGTGGGATTTGCAGTTTATAAAATGTCTTCCCTTTTTTGCAAAGAATCTGGTGTTGAACAACTCTCACCTTTCACTTTTTACTGTCACAAGGAGATTGCAAGTGACCAAACAATTGTAAAATTTCATTTGCTGCAGCATGCATGATGAATGTAACAATATAATAATGGAAGCAAAGCAAGTCTTCTAATTTCCCTCCTCTGTATGTGTGTATGTATTTATTTATTTACTTATTTATCATATGAATTTAGGGCTGATGAAAGGTTGTGGATTGACAGTCTTGGAACCACTAGCCCTTCATTTACTACAGACTAGGTCAAGAACACACAGCGGTAATGCATGCTTACCCATGCTGTCCCTGTGATGTATGTCAGTCCTGACCTTAAAGAAACAGACTTCTATAACTGAAGGAAATTCAGACTCTTGGATAAGGCTGCAATGGGATCCCATTAATGTCACTGTGCCATTGATGGAAATTGGAATAAAGATACAACATATTTCTCATACACCACCCAACAGCTGCCAGGAAGTAGGAATTCTGGATCATTACCACCAAACTATGCTCGATTTGAACCACGGACTGGTTCAATAACAGCCATCAATTCCCCTAAACTGCACAGGTCTTTGGTGGCCACATCAGAAGGAGGTCCAGTGCATAAACTTCTCGGGCAACAATGTCACATTTTCTCACACTAAGGGAAAAATCTGAGATTCATTCTTCAAATATCATTTTTTAAAGTGCCACACATGCAAGAAGAGTTTCTAACTCAACAGAGGTTGTGAGATTTAATGGATGCATCTACCAAATTGTACTTATATAGGGTACAGTATAACAAACTGTACCCGGTTCTAAATGTATACAGAAATATGCTTGTACATAAATGTTACATAAACACTATGCACATGCAAGTGTGTGTTTCTTCACTGTATATACATTTATAAATTCATGTCTCTGGCAATCGTTCTACTCAGATACCCTCTGCCTTTACAACCCTTTGTTCTTGAGTATTATGAAAAGGATTTAGATTAGCATTATATGAAGAGTGCCTAGGAATCGAAGCAATGACAAATTAGGGACTGGAATCCAGTGCAGGTAAAATAAAACCTAATGCCACCCTTTACACCAAATGCAGACAGAACCAAACCTATTCAAAGGGTCAAATAACATGAGTTGAATATATAAGAAAAAACTGCTCTTATGGGATGCTGCAAAAGCCACTGAGGACTTCTAAAATTAGACTGGTAAAATCACTGAAGGGAAAAAAAGACCAGTCTCAGTCAATGGATAAAATGAAAAGACTTTTCAATCTGTAACTTCCATGATTCTGCATTTCCTGAGTTAATCTCGGACGGGAGATATATGTACCAAAATATCATCTGCAAGTCAGAGCACACCATATTTCTGGCACAACTGAAACTAGCAAGCACCAGAAAACTCACGATGAAAATTGTTTTTTTGAAATTTTTGCAACCTGATTTTCAGAAAGACAAGTTATTTTTGATAAGCTTGAGATTTAATGTTGTTACTGCAGAGATCAACTCAAAATAGCCAAATATCACAGGGAGAGAGCAGGCAGATTTGTAATCAAGTGAATTAATCTCTCCTGTTTTTAAGTATTTCTGCAGTGTTACTAACATGAAGGTTTTTATAGTTCTTGACTCATAATAATGCAACTTTTTCTGCCTATGAAGATATTAAGAAACATGGACTCTCCTTACCCCTTCCATATGGATCCTGGGATTTGGTGCCAGCCTGTACTGATTAAGTTGTAAACCTCTTGGATCTCCCCTGTCTCTCCTGATGGAAGCAGGAGAGGTCAGGACCCGAGATCTTTGGACTGAGCCAAACCTTGTAACGTTTTGTCCATATCTGACACCGTCCAGTAAGCGAATTAGAAGCAAGTTGGACGGTAACTCGTCAATGCTGCAGAAGACTAGGGTTCTGCACTCCGGGCACCTCAGCTCGTTTTGGGATTTCAGTATCCCCTGTAGACAAGGCTTGCAGAAGGTATGCTGGCATGGTAGCACCTTGGCCGTGACATCTAGCTTTTCAAAGCACACAGGACATTCCAACAGGTCAAGTATGGCGAAATCGTCCATCTTTAGTGAAGAACTCCAGTCTCACGTGAGGCCAGGAAAGTCCACATGATACATTCACCAGAGCATTGGGTAGCAGTTGCTACAGTACCTTCACAAACAACACTGAAATCCTGAACTCAGAAAACCATCCTGCATGAAGGAAAAGAGAGGAGGAGGGGAAAAAAAGAACAGAACTTGACTGCTACAGTATGAAACCTATCCCACCTACATTGCAAAGCAATGCCTCACGAGCCAATTTGCAAATGTATACTTTGCTCTCACATCCAAGTTTGAAGTGAGTCATTTGTGATTCAGTACTAGTGAGAAGAATTGTATTCAAGCTCAAGTCTGCTGCAGGAGAGACCAAGTTTCTGTTTGTCAGGGTAGATAAATAACCGCAGCTCAGATTGAGACAACTATACTAATTCATGCCAGTGCCCCAGAGCAGGGCAACTCAATCAAGTTAGGAACTTAACTCAATCAAGACAGGAACATTCCTTCTCACATGTACTGTAGGAAAACTTCGCTGTAATGCTTTGCAGTCTATTCTAATGTTAATTATGAATAGTATAACAATACTTAAACCAGATCAGGAGCAGAGATCCTCTGGTAAATATCCCATAGAGTCAAGAGTAAATATGTTCAGTCTTAACACAGCAGTTTAGTTACACACAATCCCACACACACCCACACTGTTTCATTTTTAACATCTTTCCTAATTAGCTTTCTTTCTACTAGTTTTGGCAGCAATTCTATATAAAAAAAGTCACCCAAACATAATTCTTGTACCTTGAAGAGAGACTTTAGTTAAGGAGTTTAGTATTGCTTTAGTTAAGGAGCTCTGCAATTTCATCCTCACCTAGACTAGTTGCTTTGGGTATCCAAAACAGCCTGAGAAGTCATTATTCCCTCCCACAATGTAAAGTCACTCAACCTGTTTAGCTCCTTTTACAATTGTATGTTGGTTTACACTGAAACATGTATACATTTTTTGGATTCAAGTTATGGCTTGTGAAAACAATTACAGTTCTATAACACACAGTAGAAGTGTGTGTGTGTGTGTGTGTGTGTGCGTGTGTGTGCAAAAGAAACCTAACCAGGAATCATTTCCCCTCTGATGTTGAAACAAATATTGCCAACCCTGAAACCTGCTCTCTGAAAATCCAGTGTGGCACCTGTGCCACGTTAAATACAAAGATTTTGTAGAATACTTTGCCTAGTAATCCTGATCAATATATACTGGAACATTTCCCCACGGATAAGGACATTATAAACAGCATAACTTCATTTGTTAAGCTTGCGTTTGAAGATGTCTGCCCCAAAAGGAAACTCGAGCAGGTTGCTAATTCTTGAAGTACCACTAACCTTGCATCTGTGCCCCTTCTAAGACAAAATCAGCTCTGCACAGCTCAAGAGATAAGAGCTCTCCCTCTCCCCAAATTGCAACCCTGTTGAAAACTTTAACATAACAACTATGTATGTTACTCGCTGACAGATCAACTTACATGTCCAGCCCTGTTAACTCTCTCACTGCCTGACTCATAAGCTACTCATAAGCAAGTTTCAGAAAGAAATTCCTGTACCATCGTTCTGGTTAGGAGCCAGATCCTGATTTGGTGTTCTGATCTCAGTGGAGTTTATTCTGGACTTGCACTGAATAAATGAGATCAGAATTTTGATCTTCCTCTTTCTTGTCTATGCAACTGTGCTTGTTTCTGGGAAAAGGCAGGAACCACTTTTAAACCCTCCTTGCTATAAACACTTTAATCAAAACGAAGCAAAGAAAAAAAGATAGATGCAGTCTCAGAAATAGGCAGCAGTTAAACTTAGCATTACAACAGTTTAGATTTGTCATACTGGAAAAGACCAATGATCCATAGACTAATACCCTGTTTCTAGTACTGGTTATGGAGGCAACAGACCCTCTCCAATGGCACCTCTCTTTGTTATATTTTATCAGAAGTGAGAATCCACTTTCTGATCTGCTCTGATGATCAGCTTTGTCTTCAAGCCTGAGCACTGTGATATCTTATCTACATACAGGGGGCTAAAGTCGCAGAAGGACTTAGACGCCTAAGTCCAACATTTAGGTGCCACTGACATTCACAAAACCCCTGCTCAGCTGCCACCTAACCCAGTAGGCACCTAAAAACCTACTCGGCACCTAAATTTTCAGGCTAAAAGTTCCCTAGATGCCTGTGTTTCTACCTCCGGGCATTTGCACTGATGCCTTACTCTAGCAACCCAAATGCCTAAGCCGCAGTGTGATTCACAAAACAGGGGAAGATAGGAAGGGCAGCTGTGGGGCCTGATTCTGCAGGTGTGCGCAGAGGCTACCTACCAGATTGCATGCCATTCAAAATACCTTTGTAAGAGGCGGTGGAGGTGGTACTCACCATCTAACTTTTAGCCCAGTGGTTAGGACATTCACTTAGGATGTGGGAGACCCATGTGCAAATCCTTTCTCCCCTTCAAGCTGAGGGGAGAAAGGAATCTAACGTTAAAGACCTAACTCCCTGAGAAGAGCAGGGCTTAGGATATACCTCTTGCCACAGCATCTCCCACTGGCTAACGTAGGCAGCTCCTAACTCACTGTGCTGGCTTTTGTGAATCCCATTGTTGGGCCCTCTCTCTCCCCATTCATTGTATTGGGAGCCTAGTGCCTGCCCCAGGCTCTGTGAATCCCAGTGATTTTCTAGGTAATCTAAAAGGTAGGTGGTGTGATGTGTTGCTTTGCAATGCCGAAGTCCCTTTGTGACTCTGGCGCAGTCAGAGTAACTGCAGATGGTATTCTTGTTCAGATCAATGTATAATTCTTTTAAGGAAACTTGGTAAGCTATTTACCTCTATCCCATCGTAAGTCTGTGAGTTCCACAAATGATATGCTTTTTAAAAAAAACTCATTTATACCATTCTAAATGTTTTAAATTCATAGAGTAAGAGAAAAAGGTAATATTGTGACATGTTTATTGCAAAGGGAATAAAGCAGTAAGGATACAGTTTCCACATCGGTTTCAGAGTAGCAGCCGTGTTAGTCTGTATTCGCAAAAAGATGTTTCCACATCTTTAAGGTATTATAGGATAGTTTAAAAACAAAACAAGACATGGATCTATGAACATACTGGTAACACTTTTTAAGGTTCCCAAATGCATATTTAATTTAGATTGGGTATTACAGTTATGGTACGTTAAACACTAATCAATTATTAAAATAATTTTTGAGAATTTATCACAGTGTGGTAGACATTACATTTTACATGACCAAGTTATTTAGCTCAATAGATACATTTTACGCTTCAATTAGTTCTCATTTATTGCAAAATAATGGGCCATATCCTGTTGTTGCTATGGATGTGGAAATCCTGTTGTAGTCACAAGAAATAAAAAAATCGTTACTAGGGGATGTTTTAGTCACTTCCGATTGAATCTAGGTTTCATAACTAACTTTGTATGTATTCTCATTTGGAGGGATATATGACTCATTTTTAGACCCAAATTTACCAGAGCTCTCTTACATTATCATTATCTGTATTATCGTAGTCCCATCTGAGATTGGACTAGGAAGGCTGGACAGAATGAAGAATCAAGCCCAGAGAGTTTTGGAACTGGGGTAGCAAGCTCTGTCCTGGGTATCTCCGCAAGTGGGCTGGATGGGAATGAGTCTTCACTTTACCCTCATCCCAGACTTCAGGGGTGCTTTATGGGATCCACTTCAGTCCACACTTCCTTTATCTAGTGACACTAGGGTTCAGAATTGTTAGTGGCCTTCTCCTATGAGCCAATGGGCCTGCTCCTACTCCCACTGAAGTCAATGGGCATATTACCATTAACTCTAAAGAGCAGGATTGGGTCCAATATGCTTAGGGATCATTTAGCAGATTTGATGCTCTGTAAGGTTCTATCCTGCAAGGTGCTGAGCATGCCTGTGGAGGTGAGCACTCTTGTCTTCCCTTTACTTCAATGGGATTTGTGGGGGCTCAGTACATGGGAAGACTGAGCCCTACAATAATAGCATATAACATTTAAGTAAACACTTCCTCATTTTTTGGTTCAATAAGGCATCATACAATAATGAGCACTCCCCTGATTATCTGCTAGCTCCAAATCATAACAAAATGTCCTAGCTGGAAATGGAACAGGAAGGCAAGTTCATGGTACCTTTTAATTTGTGCTGTTGGCATCAGTGTCCCTTGTTTTACCAGCTGACCTCCTCTTTAGATGCCTGCTTTTGCTCTAATATCCTGATGCCCCACCTTTGTAGCAAGGGGAATAATGGCCTGCCCTGTATTGAAGAAACCAGATACAAGGAAAAGCAAAATAGGTTTCCCCCCTCCACAAATTCCTGACATACCTCAATTGTATGTTTCTAAATGAACATTAGAGATTTGTTTTCACTCCAGTTCTATCCAGTGCTTCTGGTGAGTCTTTATGCCCCAGTCATATATTTCCCCTATCACCCCCCACAGGTATAAACGGGTATATAATATGGGCTTGACTTTCAGTAGTGTTGAGCACCCACATGTCCAGGATGGTTCATGAGAGCTTCAGGTGTTCAGCACCTCTGAAAATAAGGGTATGTGTGTGTGTGTGGCAGGGGGTTGGAGTGGGGGCACATTCATGCATGCTGGATAATGCTAATTCTCCCCCCTCTAGATTTTGATATTGTTAATAAATCCATTTTAATTGTTCTTAAGCCACAAGTAACCTCTCATCTGCTTTGGCTATACTGGTAAAATTGCACTCAGGACTGAAAATAAAAGCACCTGAAATAAGGATCTAGATTGTAAAGACTCTGTCCTTCCAAGCCAACCCAGTTACTACTCTTTCCCTTTGTAAATCTTTCTAATTTAGTTCAAACAATTGGAATGAAGGTTTCTGAAGTTTTAAAAGCTAACCTGAAACTGGGGTCTGATTCTATAAGGTGCTGAATACCCCAACTCCCACTGCTTTATGTAGGAGGCAAAGTAGCACAGAATCTTGCAGAACTGGACACTTTATGGCAAGTGTTCTTTGCAGTTCTGTGGCAACATGCAGACTACTCAACCATCTCCTCTTTTAAACTTTCAGCTGTTGGAAGCACCTGTAAAGATTGCAGTCACATGGGAATCACAATATGTACTTAGGTATTAGGCATGTCATATAATATCCCTGTGGCTCAGTTCCCCATCTATAAAATCATTTTTCCCACCCTTTGTCTGTTTTGTATATTTAGACTATGAATTCTCAGAAGCAGGGACTTTCTCTTGCCAAGAGTTTGTCAATTGCCTAATGGGGCCCTGATCTCAACTGGAGTCTCTAGGTGCTACCATAATATTAATACTTTGCATTTTATATAATGCTTTTAATCTTCAA